TAATGGGGTGGAAAGACTGATAAATATTGAATACAAATATGATTAATGCTGTTCAAGTTCACATATATACTGGACCTTGACAATTTTAATATGAAGATTGTACTCTGTCCTTTTAAGTTGTTATTTTTTTTTTAAATACGTGCCTCTTGGGACCAGAGATACATAACAAAAAATAATGGAGACTCCTTCAATTATCGTCTGTACAAGAGGCAACCATGACTCATGTGGTGTGTGTCAGACATGAAGCATCACTGCAGACCCCGGATGTGGCACTGAGGAATGAAGAAACCATCGTCACCTCCTCCAAACTTGGGGACAACCCAAGTGTCCACTGCTGTCTTAGACAAGCTCCTTGGCTGTGCTTCTCATCTCAACATGAAAAAGAAACAATAAAGCGGGGTGGTTTAGAGCAGCTCAATGCTGAAGATCATCTCCTCAGATGGTGTCCCYGAGAGGTCAGCCGGTGTAGGTGCAGTTGAAAACAGACCCCTGAAAATCCTCTCGGCACTATAAGGGCTGGTGAACAGGCAGGGTACAGTCAGGGTGACAGGGTCCTTCAAAAAACAGCATGACCACAGCTCTCCCAGGAGCAGAGTACAGACTGCAGCCCTGGAGAGAGAGGTTCTGAGACAGCAGAGGACAGTCAGCCCCATGGCAACAGGAAGTGCTGACCATACAGGCTGGACACACCTATACTTTAGGTCTTTTTGTGCTAAGTGTGATAAACTTGGTTTTTCAYTGGATTCTCTAAAATATTCTAAGCCTGGATGATGAGAAGAGCTACGTCTTCTTTTCCAAAGTGGACTGCAACTGCTGTCACCTTGCCACTCCATACAAACCTTGCTATTCTGTAGTGTTGGCGCGGTTCAAACCCAGGGCCAGCTGCACTCCCGGCCCTCGGCTCCGGTGCAGCATTTCTCCAGCGAGCTATGGTACACTACTGAGTCAAAGGTGATTACAACGGTCATAGGAAAACAGCGGCCACTTACTTACTGAGCATCTCCTACCTGCTGCCCGGCAAACCTTCTAGTGCGGCAACGTGGTCTTCACGAGAGCACCGAGCAGCGCTGCTGTTACTGTCTCCAGTGAGCAGATCAAACACCGAGACGCAGGGAGGCTGAGACGCACAAGCTGAAAACCTCGCAGCCAGAAACAGGCAAAGGCTCAGATCTGGATGCTAGCATGGAGCCCCGCTTGGCCATTTTGTGGATTTTTATTTTTTTATTTTCTGGTACGGGGTTCAATCCCCAGCCACTTCCCGAGTTACAGGGATTACAGGTATGCACCATTTTACGCCCGGAGGATATATATATTTTTTGAAAAAGTGAATTGGGCTTCAGATAAACTTTAAGAAATGTAAGTCCGAGGAGGTGAAATGAAGTCATGCAGGTTGCAGTGAACCTCTGGCAAGCAGGTGACCCACAGTGACGTGTGTGTATATGTACAGCTGTTGACTGGGTCTGCAGGCCTCTGGGTGAGTGTGAACAGGCAGATCATGGGCACAGACTTGGGGCAGGAGCAGCCGAATCCCCTCCTAAAATGAAAAGCCCCACTTCCAACTTACCTGCTCTTGATTTCTCCCGGAAAATTCCCTTGTTCATGTAGGAGATCTTCCTATTTTTTTTACACGATTTTAAGACATCACACAGTCATATTTCTATGGGAAATATAAATAATTCAAATAACTCTGAAAAAGAAAGGCTTCAATTATTGTATATTATAATTTGAGGGGGAAAAAAATCAAACTTGAGCAAAAGCTGACAGTCAGATCAGAGGCATTGCAGGAAGTTTCTTGCTCATTTTCTCCAGAGGTTAAGCCAGAATATTTTTTTAAAAGGGCAGAAGTTTAAGGTCTAGCTAGGGAATAAAGACGTGTTTTGTCTGACACTTCCCAATTCAAATCCAACATTTATCAAATGATCTTTAAGTACTGTATTTAAAAAAAAAAAAAAAAAAAGCCCAGTCAGGAGCTGGCAGACTGGGTATATTAAGCTTTCATTATTGTAAATTTGTATTTTAAAAACCCAATATCTTTTCTGTAAATATGCAAGGGATTCTCTGACAATTTCTCTTTTTGTGAAGCCACCTCTCCCCGAAAACATTTTAAATAAAACTCTTATATCTAAAATGCATTCTTGGCATTTGGGAGTTCAAAAATCTCCCCCAAATTCAGAGGGGGGGGGATAAAGCTGCATAATTATAGTTCACTTAAGTGCAAGTTATAAAGTAATCAGAAATGATTCTAACCAAAAAGTAACATCTTAGAGTGGCATTTAAAACCAGGGGGAAAAAAAGGGACGATTGGCATTTTGAACATTTTCTGGCAATTTGTTATTCATTAAGTCAGAGAAAAAATGTGCCTTTTTTTTTTATGAGGCAAACAACGCTGAAAATTAGCATGAACGACCGGCCACTGCTTTGTGAAAAACCATATGCTTTAATGAGGCTATCAAGAACAACAGCTCGATTATTTCATTGGATACATTAATATCAATCCATAAGATACAGTGCTATGGACCATACAGAAACTATTGCTGCACACAACAGCAGTGATAATTATTAACATTACAGTACCAAGCGTCCGCAAGAGACAGTCATTTGTCGTTTTTATTTTTTTATTTTTTATCAAGAAATAGGGTTTCTTTATACTGTTATCAACATCAACCTTTCCCCAGTGCATTTTACAAAAATATTAGTAAGTGCATTCCTTGTGCTTTATTGGATATCTTTTAGCGTCCTACGTGTTTTATTTGTTCTTATTGCTTTACTGTTCGGAAACAACCAGAAAGAACTTGGTCATCCTCTCCAGAGGACCAGGTTGGTTGTTTCAGCTTTTGGCAAAGACAGAAGGTTTGGTATTTCCACTGCCCGACCCACGGGCAGGGGGACAGTTTTGGTGTTTTGGTCACTCCAAATGGAGGCCCAACCCTGAGTCACAGTTCCGCACCCAGGGATGGGGGGGGAGTGGTGTGGATCATCCTCCTGTTGAAACCAAGAGCCCAAACCACTGCCTCTCGGCTTGGCTAGTCCCTAAAGTGAACTCACACTCCGTTTGGCAAAAAAGAAAGAAAGAAAACCAGCCGGCTGCAGCGTTCCTCTGGGTTCGCCCCCCTGTGCTCCCAGAAATGCCCCTTAAGCAGGAAAGAGGAGGCGGGAGCAGGAGGTGACAAACTGGGGCCCCCGCTGCAGCTGGAGGTGCAGGATGCCAGGCTTTCTCTCAGAGGCTTCCGGCTCTGCCACGGCCACGGTCCCTGGGCGTGGGTCAGCCAGCCTCGCTGCATCGTTAAGAGCCCCCCAGATCAGCTCAGGAGAAGTAGCTCGTTGCTTTGCCACCTTAGCTCTTGCTCCCAGCCCCTCCCCCCCTTATAAATATGAAGAGAACAGCAGACAACGCTACGATTGTTGTCCGAGCACTACGGCACAGGAGCTGCTCATGCAGATCATCACTACTCTAGGAAAAGGCGACACAATCCAGAGGGCTGAAAGAATGGGAGCCACGCCTCCCGGCCCCCTTCAGTCATAAAGCTATAAAACTGAGAGCATCATCAACGTCTTCAAGGGTCTTCTCGGTGGCCAGCGGCCAGCGTGCACGGGGATGGAGAGGTGGGCTCTCCTCCCTAAGCCATCGTCCACACACCAGGCGATCGCGCTCTCTGATCCCTCCGTCCCCGTCACCAATTCATATTCGACATTGAAACACTTTTTTTTTTTTTTTTAAAGAAGACCCCCTTGAATAAGGTTTCCTGATGAGATAGGTTGGCACTCTGTCACTAAAGTCTATTTCAGGTTAAAAAGATGTGAAGGAAACTGGAAGCTCTTCCGCTGTCTTCAGAGGCACCGTGCCACAAGACCCTCTTCACTCCGGATGCCGTCTTGGAAGCGTCCTCCYGGTCACAGTTCAGTCAGTGCTAGTCCAGAGCAGACGACGCTGTGTGTAAGGCACTTCATTCTGAATGGATATGCTTTGCGCCACGGGCTCTTCAACTGCAGGCTGCTTCTGAGAAAGGCCCTGGCAGCCAGGCTGCATCTGAGTGTCACTGCATAAGACATCTAGGCTGGACAGATGTAACACTACTGTCATTGCATAGGGCTACACAAGTAGGTAATGCACGGAAACTAACTTTACATGGCTGCTTGTTAAAACATTGTTATTGAGTAACAGTAACTTGCCGATACAGTATTTCTCTCTTTTAAAAAATCCAGCATGTTTGCTGAAATAAACCCCAATTTAAAGGACCACAAAGGGCAGAGTAACTCTATGGTTATCAGTCTCCAAGAATATTGCTACTTTATATCCTAAAAATAAATACATAGGTTTATGGTTTTTTTTTTTTCTAGAAAGCCTGGTTTTAACCTATTAATACTCTATCTTAAATGTGTTGAAAAACAGTTCTGAGTGAGCTATAATATACAAAATATTTGCAAAGCTCTCTTTAAACACAAGACCTTGCATAAAATTTTTCTTTCCYGGGTGTACAAAGAATGCAGAAAACCACCAAARAGTTGTAAAAATACTGAAAACTCGTCGTCTTCAGATGCAGATTCTTACAAATTAATACAAACATCGAAAAGAACGATGATAACAAAGAGTCTGTACAAATCAAATGAGTAAAACATAATTTAAAAATAAAAATAGTAAAGCCAATTAGAAATGTGCCCAGTTCGGTTGTCTTATCAAAAGCAAAAAATAAAAATAAAAAATAAAAAATAAAAACCAAAATGAAGGAAAAAGAAAGAGAGAAAATAAGTACAACAAACTTTCAGTGCTCCTCAACAATGGACTTTGAGAGGACATTCATTTCCATTTCAAAATGAAATGCATCCGATGACCCAGCTGGGTTGCGCTTCTTAATTCATGAAGGAAGACAGCTGCGTCTGCAAGCTGAGGAGGGGTGGGTGGCGGCTCTCCAGAGGCCCTTCTCCCACCTTGCCATCGGGGTTGGTGTCAGTTCCACTTGCTGTCAACCCTCGGGAAAATGACTGCTGTGAATTTTGTTTCGTTTTGTTTTTGATTTTTTTTTTTTTTTTGGTCTTTTGCAGACTACACTAGTTCCTTAAATAGTTTGCAGAACAAAGGCTGAAGGGTGCTCCCAGGTACTGTGTCTTTAAGGCAGTACCAATGAATCAGTACATTTATAAAAGGGAGAAGGGTTAGGATGCACATCTTTCTTTTTTTTTCTTCATGTATTTTTTTTTGGTTGCTTTACATTCTTTCAGTTAAATTCTACATTGAATTGCCAAGGAAGTCACAGGCATGAAAACCTCAGATCAAGTTTCCCCTGAATTAGGATGGACAGACGCAGCCCCGACAGGCACCTCCGGGCTGGGAGGGGGCGTCGGCCGGAGCTCAGTTCACAGATCCTGCACACACGCGCTGTACCACACTTTGGAGGCATTTGGAGTTGTAAAATAGAATATACAAGTCCGTTTCACAAAATTCTAAAAATAAAATATATCCTGGGCTATCAATAAAGCATGGAAAAAATTCATATTAAAGGAAAATCATCAAGAAAACCCCTTCCGGGGAATGCCGCGTGTCCCAGTCAGGGAGGGGGCCTCTGAGGACGCGGGGGCAGGTGCGCTAACACGCCAGCTCGGCCTCCTCCATACTCATGCTGCTCCTCCGGCTGCTGGCCTTGGAGGCTCCCGGGGACACGGAGGACAGGAGTGGGTCAGTCACCCCGGCGGGAGAGAGGGTGTCGTCCATCAGGATGTCTTCCAGCTTGGACCCCATCTTCGCGGGGACGCTGTAGGCCTGGGCGCCCTCGGCCGCGGGCCCCAGGCTGCTGCTGAAGGCCAGGGTGCCGTCCGTGAGGTCCAGGCTGGTGCACGCCAGCTCTGCCTGGTGCTGCAGGAGGTCCTGGCTGCAGTTCTCCAGTACCGGCTCTTGCTTGATGATCCGGTTCACCAGATCCGGGGAGCAGAGACCCGTGGATGGAATGAGGGAGAGTCCGTGAGCCCGGGCCTGCATCTCCAGTTCCTGTAAGAAGAGTCCACATCACACACTGGCACCAGGGGTGCGGGGAGGACSCTCAGGGCAGGGAACCACTCCCCATGGCTCTGCGGACGCAGACACGGGTGGGTACACACGGGGAGACCCAGGGGACGCACGTCACCAAGAGTGAAGGTGCGCTTAGGAGGGCGAGGAAATGCCCAAGTTAGTCCTCCACTCTGGGGTGCTGCCCATGGGGGAGGCTGCGCGGGTGTGGGGAGGGCCTCTGGAYCCTCTCTTTGGCTCCCCCTTATTTTCTCTGTGAAGCTAAGACTCCTCTAAAAAATAGTGTATTAAAATCAGACAAAGGGAAAACAATAAGTTTCCAAAGTGTTTGTTTGCTCTTTAAAATCAATAAACTCTGTATTTCCTAGAGTACCGGTAACCATCAGTCGTATATGAAATGACTTTTTAGGTGGCAGATGGATTCAATCGTGTATTAAAAACAGACTTTCAGAGACATTAATGTTGACAGTAAGGATAAGCTCAAAATATAAAAATAAAACTTTAACACGTGACCTGATGAAAAGAATGTATTCAGTAAATGGTCATAGAATTTCACGGTCCCTAGGTCACGCACCGAGGGACCCAGGGAGCTGCAGGGAGCCCAGGGAGCTGAACGTAGTTTAAGATTTCAAGGGAAACGGTGAGACCACCAAGAGCTGCCAAACTCAAGACGGTTCTCAGCCTCGTGTGAGTCGTGACACACACGCAGTCTCTTGTCCCAGCACTGAAAGTGCTTCACAGGGCTACTGTGACGAGGACGCATGCAGGTCAATGTGGAATGGGAGGCCAGGGACGGCTGCTGCAGAGTCCACAAGCCTGGTGCTGCCCAGCGGGGACACATCTCATCGGTAAGCGCTGTGATGATTTAAGAATAAAACTAAAATGATGTTTTCCTTTCAATTTTTATGATTTTTGTTTTCCAAATGTCTACCAAGAGGTTAAGGCCTAAATACTCCGTGAGTTGTTTGGACCTAACAGAAAAGGAAGGATTTCCGTGGGCCTGGGGATGCAGTGAGGGCCACACAGACACTGACGGCACCAGGAGTGGCAGTGTCTCGAGGTGGCGGCCCAGGCTGAGCAGGTTCCCGTGGGTAGCGGAAGGCTGCAGAGCTTGGCCCAGCCATCCTCAWCACGGCGGGCCAGGGGACGTTGATCCTTCTGAATTCAACAACTCGGTTCTCACCTATGAAATGAAGAATTGCTTCCTACACTRTCTTCACGTACTTCTGATGAGCTAACGCACATCCCCAATTCACAGGCTGAGGTCCCAGCCCCAGGACTGACACATGACTCCTGAGAGACAGAGGTCACTAAGCTAAAGGGGGTCAAGTGGGACAGACCAGACCCCAGACACCATTGGGACCAGACATAAGGGAGAAGGTGCCACATGCAGGCCAAGGAGGGGTCTCAGAGGAAACCAGTCCGGTGCCACCCTGATCTTGGACACGTGGCCTGCAGAACAGAGATGGCAACTGTCCATGGCTTAGGCCACCCAGCATAGCATGAGGTGTCCAATACATTTCCCAATGTCAGAGCCTCCCCAGGACCTCAACCCCAGATAGCCTTGGAGCAAGCCTTTGCCCCTTCCTTTATGGGAGGCTCCTAAAGCAAACCATTGGGACCCAAGTGGCGTCCAGTAAGCAGTCAGCTTCTGYGTGCAGTGGCTGTCCCATGCCCCAATGCCACAATGGAGAAACACAGGATGTGCGCTAAAAGCAAGCCGGCTGGCCCCCCAGAGCAGGCCCAGGCTCTCCACAGGACCTGGCCCCTCCACCTCTGCCCATGAGCTAGAATCCATGTGCCTGGAAAGCCAGGCTCGGCTATGTTGGGACCAGAGGGTCTGCTGGGCTCCTGGAAACTGCGCACGGAGGGGACCAGAGCTTGGGATGTCACCTGAGTGCCTGCCTGCTCCTTTACAGACTCCGGGAGCACCAGCCTCTCCAGGCTTTCCGTTAAGGCCCCGGGCTGTTTAATAAGAGCAGTTCCACCGATAATGAGGCTTCCGGCTCCTTCTCGTGTGAAGATTTTTGCATGCATCGCTTGGGAYGAAAATGAAAGGAAGGCCTCAGGCCCAAGCGGAAACTGCTCTTGAGTCTCCTGCCCACAGGAGACCAGCAGCACCTCCTACCAGCCTGTGTCTTTCCAAAAACCACACTAGTCAACAAAATCAGACCAAGAGAAGCAAACGCCTTACTGCACACCTTTGCTRTTTAATTAAAAATGTTTATCAGCTGATGAAAGCAGTTACTCATTTCCAAATAAGGTGGAAAATCTCTCCTGAACACTCTGGCCTCACCGCATTGCAGAGGTTTCCGGATCAATAGCATTTCCTGCAACATTGTGAAGTTGTAAAGGTGGCCCACAGTCACTGAGAGAAAAACCCAGGCACCGTCACCCAGGAATTTCCAATGCACCTGTGGCACTGCGTGATATTTATGTATGAATACCCATCTTTGGAACCTTGAAATAAAACAAAACCTGATTTCTCTTCCAAAACCGTCATCACATTTTATAACTTGTTTAAGGAAATGACGCATCAGGACAAGCTGCTTTTGTAAGTAGGTCTACTCAGTAGGTACAGGAACCACGTCCGTGGGTCCCATTGGAGGGGCGAGACGTAAGACCAGCAGTGAGAACCAAAGCAGACGAAGAAGCGAAGATATTTCCAAAGGACCCACAACCTGTAGGGCACCTGGATTCTACAACCCGACCCTGGAGGAGAGCCCCTCCAGGACCTTGGCAGCCAATGGGAGGGCAGCACCTCATACCAATGTGGTGCGCTCTGAGGGTGGGGAAGAGGGATGACCAAGAGGGATGCCACAAGGACYGAGGTGGCTCTAAGGGGGCATGCTGCAGGTGGCTGTCCCTTAAACCACTCCCGGAGGAGCTGCAGTGGAATCCAAGGAGATGACGAGACCACTACTCAGGGAGAAGACGCAGCGTCCCAGGCTCTCATGGTGGAGCAGGCCAAGGAGGCAAGCAAGTTAACCACCCCTGAGCTCTACTTGGTCTTTGGTCATTGACAGCGCTTGAGGACAGTCACGGGAAGCTGTGCCTGACACTGAGCAGGAGATGCCAGTACCAGCGAGGAGTCCCAGAGCCAGGCCTAAACAGGGTCCACAGCTATGTCCTTCCTGCTCGGCTGCAGGCACTCCCGGGATGGGACAGTGGTCAGATGCACACCTCTAAGACTGCATCTGCTTAAGGATCCATACGGCACAGAGCCATAGTCTCTAAGATCTGTGTCCTTATTATTAGACCCTCTGGTATCCCAGGTCCTTAAAATATGAGGACTGCTCCTACCACCCAAGAAGTACTAGGGCATCCTTTATGTAGCAGGCACAGTCAGTGCTCACTATTTCTGGCAAGTCCATTCTGCAGAGTCCTGCAAACAGAAGGAGTGAGTGTGGGACCATTGTTCCTGTGGGAAGGGCAGGGTTAGGCTCTGCCTGTCACAACACCTGCAACCCACAGGGTCTTGGAGTCTGCGTGTTTCTGATTGGAGACACATCCCTTTAAAACACACAGTAGGTTCCTTAATACTGGGCTCAGACCACACACCGAAACTAAGGCCTGGAGGGAGTGAATCTGACCCCTGCGCACACCATAGGGACACTTCTCCACCCCGGGAACGCTGGAGGGCACTTCTGCACTGCCCCGGGGACATTCTAAATGGCAAGACCAACAAGAACGAAAACCAGAAAAAKGTGGAGCCTGTGACATTTCACAGGCCACAGTAACTGGGTGACAGTGTGGGAGCTGAAACCAGAGGGCAGGGCCCAGACCTCCACCAAGAACCAGCACAAAGGGCCACTCCAAACCACCGCTCCCCACGTGTCCAAGAACAACTGCGGAAGCCAGTAATGATGGTGGGGGACCAGTGCGCTTTGTAAGCAGGGAAATGCACGATGCGGGATGCAGGACTGGAGCAGCCTGCGTCGTTGGGGCTGGGCGCCCTTCCCAGGCGCAGCTCCTCTCCCCACCGGCAGCCCCCAGCCGAGCGCTGCTCTACCTGGATTCGGAGCAGCAGGTGCCGGTTGGCGTGCTCCAGCTTCTTCTGCCGGCTCTCCAGCTCCTTGGCGCGCTGCTGCTCCCGCTGCAGCTTCCGGATGTAGTCCACGGATGCCTTCAGGATGGTTCCCTTGTTCCAGCGCATGTCTCTGCGAGGAAGAGGGAACAAAGCAGACCTCGTCAGGAAGCCAGGCTCCGTGAAAAAGCCAACATCGAAAGCGKCTGGCGTCTTCAGACGTCATCACAAACACACATCAGCAATGGCGACTTTCCACGACTTTCCATGTGTCTGCACATGCCGGATGCTTCCACGGCCTGTGTACCTTGTCCCACTCCATGCAGACACACATCAGGGACAGGAGGGACATGGGACAAATGTGGGAACAGATGACTCAGCTTGTCCTAGTCTCAGAGCCACCAGACAAGGGCGGCGAGACTTACAYGGAGGTCTGTTGCGTACCCAGTCGATATTCTCAAACCCTCTATTAATGGCCACAGGTCTCAAGGACCATGAAGTCATTATTCCCTTGGGCAGAACAAGCCACCGTTAAAAATGAGATGACTGTGTGGGGTGGTATGGCTTGAAGACTGTGGCATAAGTGGTGTGTCCTCAGAGCTGATGGAGAATTATCCTGCTACCTGACGCTCTCGGGACCCCTCTCCTCATGTTCCAAGCACCCCATGTGTCTGAGTGGCCTCCTGGCTACACTGTTGGACTCACAACAGGCACTTCACATCCAGTGCTCTGGGGTACCACAGCAGCCTTGTGAGAGCCCAGCCCAACACCTAGAGTCTGCTCAGAGCGGGACCCTGCCGGGGACTTTGTGTCCAATGCCTCCTCCTGTCAGGACCTTCTCGATGGAGAGGTGGAAATGGGCCGTCTCACTGGCTGGAAACTAAGGCCCAGGGGCTGGGAAATGTCTCTACGGCCTCAGACCCCGGCTCTGACCCCGGCTCAACCTGGACTTCACTGTTCAGACCATGGAGGGGTCCTTTGGCAGAGGCCCCTTTCCTGCCAAAACGGAAAGTGAAGCCCGAGAAGGAAGGAACTTCTCCAAGTTCAGACACCTGCCAGGAGGCCGCCCACCAGGAATCCCCCCAAGGCAGGCAGAGCGGGGCCTCTCGCGCTCAGTCAKCGGGCTCTGCCGGACTAACAGAGGAGGAAATCAGGACATGCGGATGAATTTCTAAATCACTCCAGAAAAAGACACAGAATGGTCTGCATCTCTGTCAATAMTACTTCTGCCTTACTTGAAATTAACCTGAAGTCTTTTAGATTCTATGTACGGTCATCCTAATGATGCCAATCRTGAATGGTGAGACAGTTCATCCCCTGGGATGCACGGAGAACCACCTACCCCGCCTCCTGCAGCTACTAAGGGCAGGTGGGAAGCGCCAGGTGGGACCGGAGGGTGGCCCATTAAACAAGCCACCCAGTAATCGATCCTCACGTGTCCCAGACGAAGAACAAAACAGAAGTTCTCCCATGAGAGCCACAACTAGAGAATTCCCTGGGATGGATCCTGGGGTGGACCCTGGGGTCTCAGAGATGGCAAACTAGGTGTCCTGAGAGACCCTGCGTGAGCCCAGAGACTCCTGCTCAGGCTAAAACCAAAGTAACAGGAACTTGAGCACCAGCGAGACGGGACCGGGGTGGAATGGTGCCTCCCGGGCCGGGAGGTGAGCTTTGGACCTTTCAGACAGAACTGCCACTCCATGTTGAAGAAGTACTGATTCCCACCAGTGAGCCGGGGGGTTACCCCCTTGTGATACCCAACCAACCAACTGCGTCTCCTCTGGGTCATCAGAGAGAAATCCCTTTTCATCTGAAAGTGCACATAGATCTTCAGTAGAGAAAACTGACCCAAACTGAGCTGCTCTGGGGGACAAAGGGCACCACAAGGGGCTGGGACACTGATCAGGTAGGACATCTCCCTAGCGGCCCCAGAGGACATCCTGGAATCCAGAGGTGGGAAAACCACCACCTGGGTTATAGGGGTCAGCATCCGTTTTCTCTTAAAACAATGCTGACCACCAAGGGCCCCTATCCGTTCAGATTATAAACACCCAGTTTTCTCCCACAGTGGAGGAGGAAGATATGCAAATACAGGACTTTCACTGCCACCCCATAATTTCATAAGACCTTACTAAAGAGATTCACATGCGATGGTTTCAAAGAATATGCTAAAAAGTGAGAGCTGATAAAGAACAGGAAAATGGGAATTCAATTTCAACCACCATGCAAGACTGACTGTCGGAAATGAAGGTCACAGCCCTTTAGTACGACAGATCTGTGCTGCCAAACTGAGAATCGGAACATTTCCAGTTTGAAAATGTCTTTCCTGGAAACCTAAGAAAGCAGAGAGCGCAAGGTGGACACCGTGCTGGCACGTCCGTCCAAGTCACAAGAGGTAACAGTTTTATTTAGCTACCAAGTCCCCGACAATCATGTGAATTGCATATGTAATAAGCCTGGCATGAACGATACTTGATTGCCTCTTTACCTTTTATTAGGTAGCTGAAAGGTCATATTCGAAGGATGATTTCACAGAGTGCATGTGTGGGGGCCTTAAAACGTATACATGGCTCGGCCCCTTACTTCAAATGRGCCAGTTTCTAATGGATAAAAATTGTGTATTTGTTGTTGTATTTGCTGATGCTGCAGGTTGGCGGTAAGACTTGGGAGAATTATCTTCACAGCTGTTATCTCTGAGAGGGGGACCCCAGGCTAAAGCAGCTCAAATTAGCTGACTTGTACTTAATAAGAAGATTTAAAAGGACTCTTTTTTTCCCCTAGATTGGTAAAACATACAAAGAATATGCAGGTTTTAGTAAAAAATAAAAAATAAAAAAAAAAAAACAGTTGACCTTTTGTCTGTTGAATGCCACTGAACCTGAAATTTCCCGTATCTGCTCATCAGTGCCCATTTGGAGATATCGTAAATGTCCAAGAGCACAATGACCACAAATCTTGCTTTATCGGCTATTGAAATCTTGTACTGCATGACTGCTAAATTTCTTTTTTTTAATTTTTATTTCTCAGTAGCTCAGAATGTGTCTGCAAGGATTCTCTGGCTTCACAAAGCCCAATTCCTGACCCACAAAACTCAGTGCATTTCTCTTGAAATTTTATTTTGGTGGAAAATAAACAAAGGCAAGTATTTAGAAAGGGAACCAAAGGAAGAGAGGAGACCGGGTTACTCTAGGTTTTCTAACTGCATTTTTTTTTTTTTTTGCCACACACGAGAAAACATGAAGGTACAAAAAAATATATGATGCAGATCAACATGCAATTGTACTCACGGATCATTTGACTTGGGAATCAAAGTACCTAGTTCTTTAATGCGGTCATTTATGTTAAATCTTCTTCTTCGTTCAACTTGAAGAAAAGAGCACAGGAAAGGGCGATTAGGAAGAGCACCACAGATGCATGCCACACGTCTTGTTAAAGCTATGAGCACATTAACCCCCCAGGTCGGGACCATGTAAACCCAAACCTGTGTCCCCGTGTCCTTACCATGTCTGGGGCACTGAGACTGAAGCACTTTTAAAACGAGCTCCTTGGATACAGAGCTCTATCAGACACACGATTTCTCATTTTACCCTGTAACAACCTTGAAATCAGAATTACTGCCCAGGGTCACCAGGGACAAAGCCCCCCTGGAGATGTCAGGGGCTTGGAGAGGGCGGCCAGCCGGGAGCAGGGAACTGTCCAACTCCAAGCTGCCTCCAGGGAGCAGGGCTCGGCATGCTCACAGCACCACACAGGGAGGTCCTGCTTCCCGGGACCCAAACTAAGTAGGTACTTAAATGGCTAACGGGAAAATGAATTCCCACAATTTTCTACTGACAAAAATCAAAATAGTATCCACTGAGTACAATTTTTACACTGCAAGGCTACTAAGCAGAAGCATGGGAATTACTTGCGATGGGGAAATTGGAATTATATGTGGTTTTCACATACCATGAATATCACTCTTCTTCTGATTTCCTTTTAACAACTTAAACATGTAAAAAAAAACATTCTTAACTCATGGAGCATAGCCCATTCTCTAGTAGCCTTATTAAAATAGTTCACCTTATTAAAATAATTCAAAACAAAGAGATAAAATTAATTACAATATTTTGCTAAATCCACTACAACCAAACTACCATAATAACAACAGGGAGTCAATGCAAAACTTTGTAAGTTATTTTCTTTCTTTCTTCCTTCCTTTCTTTCTTTCTTTCTCTCTTTCTTTTCTTTTTTTCCCTTCTTTTCCTTCTCTTTTCCTTTTGGTACTAGGGTATAACCCAGGGGCTTGTAACCACTGATCTACATCCCCAGTATTTTTTTTTTTTTGAGACAGGGTCTCACTAAATCACCAAGGCTGACCTTGAACTTGGCAATCCTCCTGCCTCAGCCTCCCGTGTCACTGGGATCACCCAGCTTTGTCCAAGTGTATTTTATACTGAAAAAGCTCGGCACAGTCTGGACTGATCACATTTCAAGTGTCAAGTGTTCAGTAGGCACGGTGGTGAGTCACCACACACCAGAGGGCACGGCCCTGGAACTGAAGCCCAGTACTACTAACCATGGCACGCATGGTAAAGTGTTCTTCCCCCAAGCCCCTAGTTGCATACTCAATTAATCTGTCTCCTAGGGTAGGAGGGTGACATAGCAGGGCATATGAGGTAGCAAATGTGTCTAACTAGCACCTGTTGGGTCAAATGGAAACACAGAGCCTATCCCTGGGATTCAAGGACCTGCCCCCCCGACCATTTTCTTTTCGGGGGGGGGGATACTGAGGATTGAACTCAGGGGCACTCGACCACTGAGCCACATTTCCAGGCCTATTTTCTATTTTATTTAGAGACAGGGTCTCACTGAGTTGCTTAGCACTTCACTTTTGCTGAGGCTGGTTTTGAACTTGTGATCCTCCTGCCTCAGCCTCCTGAGCCACTGGGATTTCAGGTGTATGCCACTGCACCCAGCTTCCACCATTTCTTATAAGGGGGAAGTGTTAATTTATGGCTCATGTTCTTAAAAATCAGCTTAGGAAGCAGAGGTGTGATGCTATGAGATGAGAAGTTCACCTACACTCCCTCCTGCACCCAAGGCCACACCTCGTTTTTCCTTGGCCACCGCCCTCACATGCACGTATTAAACAGGAATTTAAGTTTTCAGAGGAAAAGGTCTAAAGATTTAATGGAGAGTCAATCAGACACACAAAGGCACTGTGCATGTTCCAGGACTTCTCAGAGTCACAGGTACGGTGGGAAGTTGGGGAGGCGACCTCCCCCAGGGGACCCCAGGGGTCTTTCTTTTCTATTTCTCTCATCTCCCTGGAGGAGGAGAGCCCAGCTCCCCGCTTGTAATAATAAGTTCCAGTGTGAGCATCACTTCTAATGGGGTACTTGGGGATCAATTCCCCCTCTTGCAAAAAAGAAAAAAGAAACATGACCTCAAACATCCACAGAAGAACTCACTCTTTGGAAACTAAATGCGAGGATAAATGCGGAATTCAGTTAGGCCTGCGATGAAACACACACCCTGGTTTCTCTGAGATACGGTTTTTCCCACGGCTTTGACAGCTCCAGAAATCAATGATCACACATGATTTCCGCGGCAAGGTTCTGACGAGGGACGCGCGGCCAGCTCCAATGTGGAGCAACTCGAAGGGAAACGGCTACTTACTCAGGTTGTGATTGTCCTTCTTCTGCCTCTCCTTGGCCAGGGCTCTTGCTTCCGACTCTGTGGGGAAAATACACGCTGTGCACGTGAATGAAGTTGTTAGAAACTGGAACTGTCCGGGGCACCGCGACGCACCTACACAACATCTCGTTTTCTACGCGCACACAGAATCTCGGCTGACGGCACTCCGAGTACGATCACGCTTTCTAAAGTGAGGGCTTTAAAGGAGTCTGCACTTTTTCGGATCACTGTGGATCTGAGTCATGCAGAAACTCAGCCTCCACCAATGGGTACCGGGACGGTCACAAGGGTCCCCAGGGTGCTGCCCACATGTTCCAGAGTTAGTGGGAGTAAAAATAAAGGACCGGGAATCTGCTGTTGGAATTCCACCATCGGGAGTCAAGTTTTCTTTTCAGGCCCAATCATTTCCTGGTTTTTGATTTGCTGCCCTTRTAAGCCCCTGGCATGGAAACCGAGTCAAGAAGCTCCCAGGCCGGACCTCCCAGGGGTTCTCAGTGGACATACACTGGGAACTTGGAGCCGGGTTCTGTCAGAATTCGCCAAAACAGAATCGCTCACTGACTCTTGGGAGCAACTATTCACCAGTTTGAGTCTCTAAAATGTTCATCGGAAAGGGGCCAGGAGGCATCCGGTGGCAACCGCATTTAGGAAGTTCTACTTGCACGCTCCAGCGAGGCCTCTGAGCTAGGAGCTGGCCGCTGGCCTTTGGCCTCACACCCAAATCCTCAAAACCCAACATGCTGTTTGAGCCATGGGGGCCTCAGAGAGCTCAGTCTGCCTCCTTGCAGAAGGGAAGGGTGAAATGGTTCACCACCAGTTTGTCCTTGACCTGGAGACAGCGACCTTGAGGTGCACCCACACATTTATCTCTTGTTTATTACGCATGGGTGGGGTCCGTGCTGCCCCAACCCGTAGGGAACTCAGCAGACAAAACACCGTGTGCATTTAGACGTCCGGGGAGACTGTTTCTGCGTGACATTGCAGGTATCTGTCACAGTGCACCATGATGTCACGGGGGCGCCTCCCCATGTGTCCCGGTGTGCAGACTCCTGTGGGCCTCTGTGCCCATACGACATAATGCAGAGGCGGACTCTTTAGACTGGGAGGATGGACCTCGCCCCTGAAACTGGCCTGGCCACATGAAAACTGAGTCAGGAAGCTCCAGGCTGGACCTTCCCTGCCTGGAGGAATGGCCCCTCTTCAAGAGCCCCGAGGGCTACTGTTGCTCTTTCTGCTCTTGCCTCCTGCTGGGGTTCCTACTGGGTTTGGGGCTTGGGATAGTTTTATTCATTAATTATTTCAATTGAAACCCCAATTAATGATTTTTTTTAAAACCTTTCTTCAGCCAGTTTTTTGAAATGCTTTTTTTGAAAGACACGATCCCACAGGATAGGGATTTTCTCCCCCAAGTCCGCATCCCCACTCTTCGTCCATCACCCCTCTGGCAGTAGGCGGGGAACGTGGGCTGGAAACGGGCAGAGCAGGGCCAGCCTCACCAGGGCAGAAGGCCAGCTCTAAGCACCTCCCGCCTCGGTTCCCCTGAAAGTGGCCATGGGTAATTTCACACCTGCCCCAAGGACAACCGTCCTAACGGCTCCATTTTATGATTTACTCTCCACCCCACCCTGCCGTGTAATAAACCTTTTGCACGTGATCCAGCAAAAAACCCCACGTGGCATCTGGAGATGTGAGAAATACGCTGTTGGCACAGCCCATCCGAGGGCTCCAGGTGAGCCAAGGAGAGGCAGAGCAGGGTTCCCAAACTCAGCACCACCAGGGCCTGGGCAAGGGATGTAACTGCCAGGCAGGGCACAGAGGTCTGCAGGGGGCACGCACGTGCAGACCATGACCAGTGCCTGGAAACAACTGTGTCCCCATCCCCAGTATCTCAGGAACCCCTAGAAACCGGGATGGCCAGGTATGAATCCTCCATCTTAAAATATCACACCACATTTTAACGACTTCAGAGACCCCAAGAAACAGGTCCATGGGTCACACCCAGTGGTCTAGACATTACTGCACTGGTCCCCATGCCCGGCGAGGGAGGCAACAGGAAGCCCCCACCAGATGCCCACCCGCTGGGCACGCACCTGTGAGCTCCCGCTTGATGTTGGGGAGGTTGGCAGGACAGGAGTTGCTGATGGTGAGGCCGGGGGGTGGCAGGCCTTGGCTGCCGTAAAGGTCGATCAAGTTTCCAGAGACGGGTAACTGCACAGAGAAACAAGGACACACGTAAACCCTTGAGCCATGACCAAGTGTTTCAGATAAAATTCACGTCCTGTTTTAGGCTTTACTTAAGGAAAATGATGGACGGAGGGAAGGAAGGAAGGAAGGAAGGAAGGAAGGAAGGAAGGAAGGAAGGAAGGAAGGAAGGAAGGAGGGGAAAAAGGAAAAACCTTTTCTTTCAAACAGGAAATACGACATAAGTATTTTTACAGAGAGGAAGACGAAGGCGCAGTGTCACACCACCTAAGGTGAGCTGCCTCTCTGGTGGCTTTATTGGGAGCCTGGAGACACTGGGGAGGTGGCACACACATTCTCTGGCACAGCAGGCCACATGCAGGTGCAGAGGGAACGGTTCCGATAGCTCTGAAGTCGGGCTCTGGGGACAGCCTTGCCCCTCACAGAGCTCTTGGTCAAAGTCAATTTTCTTACTTCTTTCTATCCAATGTTCTTTTTTTGGAAAATGATTTCCTTATTGCTAAAGAAATGTCCTTGAAACTGAAATTTTTCAGAAATCCACCAGAGGGAGCCACAGACTTTAATAAAAGACCAAAAAAAACAAAAAAAAGAACTTTCAAAAAAGGATGAAAGGAGCATGTGTGTTCCCAGGCTAGTTCAAGAGTCCTTGGGTTTTCCCTCTAGCTCTGAACTGCTTAAAAGGTGGAGAATTCATTTTTTCTTGGCGCTGACTTCCTTTGCAGGGACGTGCATTTCCAGGTCACTGGTTGGACGTGATGGTTTTATTTGCCCTTTTTTGTCCCAAGAGGCCCAAGACCTTGCCTCGCCCAGTGGCTGAAGTGCAGCTGTGACACCAACCGTGCAGGAAGAGTGAGGAAGGACACCCTTCCAGGCAGACCCTGCGGATTCCAGGTCACACAGCCCTCCTGCCCTGGATGGCAGCTGGATCTGACTCCACGTGCGAGGGAAGTAAGTTCAGAAAACATTTGCATTTGATGGGAACATTTAGTGGCCAAGAAGTGTCTAGTAAAGGCTGTGCCCAACACCCAGGGTGACCAGCCTCCATCAGAAATGCTGAGATGTGAAGTGTTTGGGTCCTTGGCACATCTGCATGTGCACAGTGGGCATCTGAGATGGCACCCGCGTCCAAACACTAAATTCACCTCTGCTTCATTCACGCCTTACACGCACTGCCTGTGGACACATTTACAGAATAGCTCGGTGCACCTGTCTTTTGCCTGTGGTGTACCCCCGTGAGGTGCACTCGGGGACTCTCCACCTGTGGCTTTGTGTTGGCACTGAACAAGTTTCAGATTTTGGAGCATTTTGGTTTCTGGACTTTCAAGTTAGGGGTGCTCAACCTGCAGTACTCTTCGCCCTTTCAATGACCATCAGGAGATAAAAATGGAACCTTTTGTGCTTCCCTCCTTGAGAGCCACCTGCATCTATTTCTAGGATGGTTTCTAAATAAATCCATGGATCTAAATCAGTCCATGGATGGAGCCCCTGGCTAGACAGGGGGGTGTGCACCAAGTAAGAGCCTTTGTGGCAGGATAAGTTGACACAGGCTAACAGGACCAGGGTGATAGAGAGGACAGGAAGATCAGCAGGACCCAGCACCACGGTGTCCCTGTTGAGGTGACATTTACTATATAAATGCATAAAACTACCCCCTCACCCACACACATGCAAACACACACACACACTGAGCTGATTTAAAATGTCCTTGACCCCCATTGTAGGGCCTTCCAACTAAGGAGGAGTCACTGATAAAAAGTGGCTTTCATTATTAGCTGTCACTCCCCTAAGTGGCACTGTTTGAGATAGGTCACCTTCTCAGGGTCACCTTGCCCAGAGCATGCAGGCTCCTTCTTGTCCTACTTAACACCAAGCGAAAGCCCTTCCCACATCCCAACAGAGCCCTGAAAAGGGCCAGAGAGCTGGGACTTCACGGAGCTGCTGGGATCATAGCACCCAGTAATGGCTCCCAAGTCTCACGCCTCTTTCCTGTCTTGCTGGAGTTTCAGATTTGGGGGAAACTGTACATGTTAACAAATCAAGAACGTCACTTGAAGATTCCAAGCAATGAGCTAAAGAGAAAACACCATGCCCAAGCCTCGGGAAATGCAAACGGCAGGTATTACATTTTCATATGCAAATTGGATGCAAAACAGGCAATCCTGTCATTAGGATGATTTGTGGGAAAATAACCCGGCAAGTGATATGGATAGCTGGCTTGGAAAAGAGGCATCCAAGTCATCTGATTCCAAACCCCTCCCGAAGGGGAACACATTTTCTCACCACATTTTATATGTCTCTAGTACACAGACATATATACACTTAAGAAGTCCAGAAGGTTTAAGAACTATTCAGCATATTGCAAGGCACGGTGGTGCACGCCTGTGATCCCAGTGGCTCAGGAGGCTGAGCAAGGAGGATCACAGTTCAAAGTCAGACTCAGCAAAAGCGCGACACTAAGCAACTCAGTGAGACCCTGTCTCTAAATAAAATACAAAATAGGATTGGGATGTAGCTCCATGGTCAAGTGCCCTTGAGTTCAATCCCTGGTACCTCCCCCCACTAAAAAAGAGAACTATTCAGCATATTTAAGAACTGATTCTGGGTTTTATCCTGGGTTTTGCAAAACAACAACAACAACAACAAMAAAAAATTCTGTGCCTCCCTTCTTGGTAACAAAAATTCCCCCATAAACTCAGTTAACATCAAAATAACATCAAAAAAGACACCTTTGGAACTGAGAGGAAGGGACGTCTTCCGTGGACATGGTTGTTTTTGTCTTCCATGGTTTTTTCTGCAGCACTTATCAGTGGGTAAGAGTCCCTCCCTGAGCAGGCGCACAGAGAACAGCTAAGGTCCCACTGGGAAGGAGGGAAGAAGGTCACCCTGCCCGTGTTTTTTGCCCCCATCGTGGTCTGAATTGAGTTCTTCAATGTTCTGCTCCACCAAAATGAATATTTTCCCAAGAAAATGATGATTGTGAGCCATTATTATTTCTTCTCCCTGGACGGTCCCCTTCCCCGAGTATCAATTGCACACTGTTAGCCCAAGCAAACAGGGACTTTTCTTCTTTGTGAAGGGACAAGAGGCCCTTGTACTCTCAGAATAGTTATTGCTGGACGTCAACTCCCTTAGGATAGTTTCCTCTCTGGGTTCCTTCCACTTTTTTTTTTGTTGTTGTTAAGTAGTTAACTTGAAATAAAGCGTTTCAAAAAATCAAATAAAAGGGAAAAGTGCCTACCATGAAGAACACTGAATTTAAACTTTCTGTGGGAAAGAAATGAAAATGGGGATGGGTCAGAGCAGCTTGGTTATTTAATTTAGATGACTCTCCCTCACGTTTGTGAAGAATGGGAGGGCGGGAGTAGCTGACTCCTAGTGGGGGCGGTGGGCCGGGACTGCTTTCTGTGGATGAAGTCATGGTTCTCACCTTGATTAGCTGTGGCAGATGCAATCCTTATCCACAGAGCACGCATGCATCGCTCTGCTTCCGAGCCTGTGTGCCCAAACCCTGCATTTTACCGTCCTTCCCCTGATAGAGAAGTGCCTCGATAATTTGTGGTAAGACTTGGAAGGGGCGGTACTTTGCCTTTTCTGGTGTGGAAATGCACAGAAGTGGAGGCTGGATGAAGCCTCTGAGGTGGCTGTGGGGAACTGCTCTCCTGCCTGGGAATGGATGCACCTGGTTCCAGAGCATCCTGCCTACCTGGAAATGGCCCTGATCCTTTGTCATACTGTCCACTGAAGGGCGACAGTCTCTCCCTCCAGGTGCAAGCCCCATGGTGACCGGGGCACCCCTCACCTTTGCATCTACAGCACCCACCCCTGCAGGTTCACTCAAGGGAGAGCAGGTTCAGAAAGCATCCAGGAGCAGTGAGGTCGGGGAGAGCAGCACCCGATGCCCGGGGGCCCTGACCCAGGACACGTGGGCACCCATTCTACAGGGGGAGCATGGGTGTGGGGGGGTCGCTACAACTATCTCCAGAAGGGTCGTCGCATGGAAGAGTTCATGCAAGCCAGGACCCAGGCTGGACGGCAGACCCCCACTGTGAGGGACACTTTGATTACTCTGTGATGGTGCTCTTAGAACAGAGCTTGGTACTTAGGAGTGCTCCCTGAACACCAGGTCAATCAACAAATAAATCACAATCAATAACCCTGGGGATCTTACTGAGTATAACTTATGCTTCCAGTGATAAATGCTGTGCGTTATAAAGCGGGATGACTGTGCGAGGCAGGTATAATTTAGAGCCCTATTTTACAGGCAGGGAACACAGGACATCAAGAAGTCAAGTGACAGCAGACTTTGGTTCTGAACCCAGGTTAGTCTACTTCTCCACAGCCCAACTGCTGTGCTGACCCTCCACCAGAGGCCTCTTGAGAAGCCGGGCGTGAGGACACGCAGGGGGAGGTTCATGGGCCAGCGGGGAGTTGGATCAGATGTCTCCCAAGGTCCTCACCATTGCAAAAAAAAAGAAAGAAGTATTTCTGAAATTAGGTCAATTCTACAGGCCTCTTGAGTGCGGCCAGGTAGCCAGTGGGGGCCACTGGTGGAAAGACCCCCCCCACGGCCAAGCTCTGGGACCACAGGCCCACTGTGGTCACGGGGACGTGAGCACACCCACGTGCCGTGGCACATTCGTGAGTTCCCAAGTGCTAGCTCTCCCGGGCACTCTGCTCATGCCCACCCTCGGATCCCAGCTGCTGCCACGTGCAGTGGCATCTCAGGGACGCTCCAGAGGTTCCAAGAGGGTGGGGAAGGTGGCACAGGAACATGTGTCAAAATGGCCCAGCATCGGGTTTTTCCAAAATCAGGAGGTGGGCTTCCACGGTGGGAAACAGACAAATACAAACCTGCTAGAAGCAGATTTGAGGTCCCAAGGGGAGTCCTCCCCCCAAACATGAGAGTTCAAGAAAATGAATTAAAGAACGGGACGGAGATGAAATAGGAAATGCTGAATATACCACTCCGTTTGCTGAGGACCTGGTGTGCATCAGGAAAGGCCCTCTTCTGCCCTGGCTGGGGCCGTTCACTACTGGAAGGTTTGGGTTTTGTCTTCATTTTACTGAGGTAAAATTAACACACCACATGAAATTTACCCTCTTTGCTATTTCTAGGTGCACAGCTCAGCAGTGTTAAGTATATTCACGCTGCTGGGAAAGAGATCTCCAGAGTCTTTGGTCTGGCAAGTTTGAAATCCCAAACCCATTCAAAAGTTCCCTTGCTTCCTCCCTGCAGCAGAGGCCCGCCTGGCAGTCCCCTCCTGGGAAATGGAGGAGGACTGTATGGCCCTCCAGCACACCCAGCTCTGGCCACAGGCTCTTCTGCGAGACGTCCAACCTGGGATGACCTAATGCCACAGAGGCCACCTCAAGGTGACTCAGTTGTTTCGAGGACTAAGTAGGAGGTGCAGGGAGACTTTGGGAGGACAGCAATAAATGGCCCAGGCACCAGGAGGAAGGAAAAGAACACAGGGACCGGGCTCCGAGTTGTGGAGAAAAGCTGTCCCACGCCCAAGGGCTACAAGCAACACACAAGCCCCTGTGACCACGGCTGCTGCACTGAGGTTGGAGGAAGACGTGCTGCTTAGCAGGGTGACCTCATGCCCCCCACCACCTGGGAACAGGAAGGAGCCCCCTCTGGAAGCTGGATCGACTCTTCAGGCCACTGTGAACCACAGGGAGGAGCACCAAGCGGGGCACGGGCCACCGGGGGAATCGCAAGGCTGCCTTCCCAGGAAGCCCACTTGGACTCCAGGGAACACAGAGCTTTATCCCAGGAGCCCGAGAAACTCATGAAAGACCCTTCATTTCCAGTGTCAAGGTCGCTTATTTGTGAACTAAGATAATTCTCCATTTTTTTGTTGTTGTTGTTATTTTTAATTTCTCAATGAATCGGTTAAGTACTCAACCCAAAACTATAAGAGTTCAGGACAAAGGGAGAGAATCATGGAAATATCTCAAGATTTTCTAAAACAAACAAAAAAACAAGACCATCAATACCGTGTTTGCCATCTGCAAGGCGGGGTCCATCAAGCCCAGGATTTCCTCATTATAACTTGATTCCAGGCTAATGATGTCATCGATGACATCATCCATCTGTAGGAAAAAGCCACAGGAGAGAAATGAGCAAAAACTGTGCAACACACCCCAAAAGGGACCTGTCCCACCTAAAGCGATAATGCTCTTTAGTTAGGTCTTAAGAGTGACCGTCCTCTCCCCAGTAAGATGGAAACACAAGACCACTAACATCCAGGACGCTGAGCATCTGTGGCYAGCATCTGAGGGGTCCCAGGTGCCCAGGGCTGACCTAGGGATTTGCATGGGCTACATCTTTTACCCGGACACATCCCTATCGGGGTCGGTGCTGTTATTGCAGTAACCGTCCAGGTGAGATGGAGAAGCGCCTGCCCAGAAGCACACCCTGAAGCGGGCTGGAGCACGATCTGCCCCTGGCTTTCCCCACTAGGCTGAACTGCCTGTCCTGAGCAGGAAAGATGGCAGGAAGCCTCTTCTTGAACAACAGCTGCCACTTCCTGTTTTCCTTCTCATACCCTGCTGGAGGAGGAAAAGGCAGAAGGGAACTCAGCCCTGGTTCCGGAGGCCGTGTAGACACTGTGGCTCTCGGGACCCTGGCTGGCCCTGCCCGGATCAGCAGTGGTGTGTAGAGTAACCAGCTCCTTGCAGGGCAGCCAGTGAGCACTGTCCCCCAGGAGCACCCAGGACGACGTACTCCCACTATGTTAATCTTATCCCTGAGGCACCCAAGCATCAGGTAGGATGGTAAACAACAGCGATGACACGTGCACGGCGGCAGTTGCAAGAGAAGCCTGCAGACACCTCTCTGTAAATGGCCCATGTGGGTGAGCCAGGTGCCATGTGTGTGCCTGGGTCTGCACAGAGCTTCCCAGGCACCCAAGGGGACCTCAGAAGGCACAGGGATGCTGTCCTGGGTCCTTCGGCCTCCTGTTAAAAAGCTGAGCCCCTGTGTCATGGGCTTGGGACAGAGTCCTGCTTCTCCCACTTCTCAGCTCAAGAGGCACCATTTCCCTGAAATGGGGACTAATGATGCTCCCGTCCTGTTGGCTTCTGGGGAGACCTCAGGATAAACCGTAGAAGGAATTCACTGTCAGGAAAGGAGTGGACATGTGAATGTGAGAATTACAAAGTGATCCCTCAGAAGCATAATGGGCAGCCAACTGTGCAAAACTGCTAGCATTCTGTTACATCCCATCTCTGGGTGGCACTAGTTTTGTTTGTTTTTAATGGATGATTTCTAATTGAATCCATCATTTGTTTTAATGAAAATAACATTGGTGGGCTTAATGTGCTTGTTTTTTTCATATATTTTTTCCTCTCCTAACAAAAAAAATCATACAAGTAGATAGTGGGAAATCCAGAAAAGTACAGACTACAAAAATGTTCCATATTCTAATACAGAAAATTGCAAAAGCCAAACACGAGAATTCTATTGCTGCTTGCTTTCTCTCTGGCGTCTCTGAACATATGCATAAACACATAAATAGATGTCACATGATTTATTCATTAAACAGGACGCTGTAGAGGAACTTTTCATTATTTGGGAAAATAGCCATTAGGTATTATTAAATCCATCATGTCTCAGAGTATGTGTTCTGGGAGATTCCACTTTTACGCCAATATAAGTGACACATCTTGCTCGTAAGGACTTGTAAGGACGAAAACTGCTACCCTACCAAACTGTGTAACACACAATGATGATGGTACACAAAGAGCGTTTATGTCTTACTTATTAAAACTCGTACACCTAAGCACTTTCCAACGAACCAAAGCAACGTTGGGGAAACATACATTGGATATATATACCTAGCAATTATTTAATGTTCAGCTACTGTGAAGAAAGCTTTCCATACTTAATAAAGAAAAAGAAAGAAAGAAAATCAGTGGAGGTGAAGACCCTGAACTCGTCAGGAAGGCGGTGAGCGGTTCCTACCTGCATGCACGAAGCCCGTGGGTGTGCGTTCATGCTGGGGCACTCGCTCTCCACCCTGTTTTGCTCGTCAAACTTATAAAACCCCTGCAAAACACAAGCCAGAAGAGCCCTGGGTTTGGATTTGCAGGTGACTCTGTGGGGACAGACCAAGGAAGCTCTCAGACAAGGTCGATCCAACCAGAGACAGCGGGGTGAAGGGGGACCTCGGGCCAGTCATCTTGCTAGATGACAGATCTGGACAGAGGAATGGGCGGTTTGGCCACAGGGAAAGGACATGGTCCTTCTCATGATTAAAGTCACTTCTGAACTTAAACATTTCCGAGTCCAGGAAAAAGCTCCACCCAAAACGAGGCTCATCATCTCAGAATTTGGAAAGAAGAAAAGGCGTTAAACCACCACTCTCCCCTCGGGGATTTTTGTGCTCCCATTTTGATGCGACCGTGAGCTCGCAGGTCTGTCTGAGTCTCGGCTCCCATGCAGCCTTTACCAAAGTGGGTGTAACAGGCAGTTTTATCATGGAACCCGATGCAGGCAGCCATCCACCCTGGTTTGTCTGTCAGAATCTCAGGGGCCGTATTATTCACATCTGGCACGCCAACGCTGCTTGTTTCTTTTATCTTTTTTTTTTTCGACTCAGGGAGAAATAAAAATAATATTCCAGACACTCACAGCGGCGGCCGGCCCTGCCGCCTGTCCCACACCTTTTCTATTTCTGCTCTTCCTCTTCCGCCTCTCCGTCACCCCTCTGCATCTTCGCCACCCCCTGAGCTGGAGGGCAGGGACGGGAAGAGGGCCTGGGGCGAGGGAGACAGAGCCCTGCTGGGGAGGCTGCTGTCAGGAGCAGTGAACCCCGAAACCCAGAGATGGGGGACAGGAGGCCGGAGGGTCTGGACAGACCCTGGTGGCTGAGGCTGGGTGGATGAGCGAGCCCACGGTCAGGGTGGGAGGAGGAGGCAACAGACAGGTACTGAGTGGGAGGAGGAGGAGGAGGAGGAGCAGAGAGGAGGATGCATTACCTCTTTGTCACAGTTGGAGTTAAGCGTGAGCAGGGCCATGGGGCTGTTGGGCGCGCTGCTCCCCGGCACCGGTGGCATGACGCGGTCGCCCGGCTGGTTTGGACATGGCAAGCTCAGGACTTGGTTGGCATGTTTGTTTGCTAAAGTGGTGGAAAGGTACTGCTTGACCTGCTGCCGCTGCGCTTGCTGTATGTGGTACTTGGTGGGGTTTTCGAGGTGGGTCTGCACCTGAGCACAGCCGGGGAGGGAAAAGAAGAGAGCACGTTATTCCCGAGCGGCGGACGGCTGTCCTCCAGGCGCCCAGCAGACCGACCGGCCACCCGGAGCAAACTAGGAAGCGCCCCTAGGTACCAGGCACCGCACTAAGGGATTTCGATCTTATTGAAGTCTAAAGTCCAACACATAGGATTCGGGGGTAAGACTCTGTTTTATTTCCCCGCTAATTAACTACCCATCTCTGTCAAACCTTGTGCCCTTCTTCTCATGTCTACTCATTAAAAGTTTGCGACTATCGGTAAGGCTAACGTGTCTCCAAGGCACCTGAAAACATTTAGTAAGATCAAAGTCGCAGTCTCACATATGCATATTCAGTGCATCACACTTTCCTTGGCAAAGAGAAGAGCTTTCTGTTGAAACACACGCACGTACACACACAAAATAATCCACCAAACTCCTTAAAAAGTCACTGTAAAAAGCTTGTAGAACGTAAACATTTCAATGTTTAAATCAGCTGGTCCAGGATTAACTCCTCCTCCTTTAATTTGAATGATTAACATTTTAATTACAAAGGAATTCAATTAAAAAGACAACTCCACGTTAAACAGGTTTTTTTTTTTTTTAAAAAAAAAACATGCTTAAACATGTATGTGTTTTTAAAGTCATGACTAAGTCACCCAGATACTTTTTATCCTTAGAAACATTAATGCAGAATTATAACTGCTTTTTTTAAAAAAAAATCAATGACATTCAATTTAAAGCGACTCTTTCCCTGATAGACACAATTTAACTGTAAAGGGTACAGTATGAACAGGAGATGGAGATCACACAGCCACACGCCGGGGAAATAAACCCCACCATGGACCCTGTTCAAAACTCTCCTGAATTACTTCTCATTGCATCAGACCATAAGCATCCTAAAAAGAGTAGATTTGCCCTGACTGAGCACCGGGTGCTGACGAGAGCCACATTAAAAAGGTGAATCAGTCAACCGGCATGTCAGGAAACCCAAGAGGAACCAGAAGAACGCTCACCTGATAGTGATTATATTCTAGCATCTCCAGCATCACAGCGCTCTAGATGGCCTCGATCCAGCGAGAAACGGCAGATTATTCTCCCTCCACTTTCTGTGACTCCAACCCCAAGACTGACTGGCAGAGGCCAGCACCATGACCAGCGGCCGAGACGCCGCCCGAAGCCTACCTCCCAGCCCTGCTTATAACAACCTAAGCTAATTAGCTATGCATGTAAAAACCATCTCACAAGGGGCTTTCTTTTTTTTGAAGCCGTAGGAGTTTGGTCTTAAATATTGATATCAATTTTCCCCCTGGCTTGACGTCACGCTTTTTTTCCTTAGATATCAAAGAACCTTTTTAAGGGATGAGCTATCAAAGTCCAGCTCCGTGGCAGATCAAGGCCGATTCACGATTCATCTTTCGTTCCGGTGGTATTAATAGACAATGGCATTTCTCTTCCAGCCGTAGGTTAGGAGCTGGGCGCCCCCTTTGGGGCCGTCGGTGGCCCAAAAGCTACCGCGACACAGGAGACCTTTCAGTGGCCACACAACACTGCCACTTCCGAGTTCACGAAGACCTCTTTCACTGAGGAGGGCCTGCTGCATTGTCGACCTCAGCAGCCTCCTCCTGCGCCCTGGTCTCTGTGCAGGGAGCTCTTAGCTGGGTGGACACGGGGCTTGATGACTGTCTCCCCACCCCATCAGGAAGAGGGGGCTGCCCCGAGCGGGGTGTGAGACACATAGGAAAAGAGAAAGGTCTTCCCGATGGAGCCCTCAAGTTAGGAAGCAGGGGCGTGTTTGCTACCGATTTTCTAGTATTATTCTCGGAGCTAGAGAACAACAGGTTACCATCATACATAATTGATGCATTTATGTGTCTATTCTTTGGATCATTATGCACTGCTATGTGCTCAGCACTGCAAATCACAGAACACGCTGAACACAAGCCCATATGAAAACAGACAGCACTTCCAGCTTCGTAAAAGGGACAGCATGGGGTGAGGCAAAAAAAGCCAAGAGCAGAGCTGGGGGGAGGGGAGCGGCGCACSCCTGTGATTCCAGCAGCTCAGGAGGCTGAGGCTGGAGGATCACAAGTTTGAGGCTAGCCTCAGCAACTCAGTGAGGCCCTAAGCAACTTAACAAGACCCTGTCTCAAACTAAAAAAATAAAAAGGGCTGGGGAGGTGGCTCAGTGGTTAAGCACCCCTGGGTTCAGTCCCCAGGACCAAAACAAAAGGGGAAACACACAGATATTTTAAAATAATGATGAACAGGCCTAATGGTCACTGTTGAAATGGGAAGATACTATTTTAAGCATAAAAATGTTACATTTATTAATTTTGTCCAAATACTCAGCATTGTGACATCCTTGGAGATGACCACCTTGGACTCTCTCCAGTGCCCGACCTCACCGCACAGAGGTCTCAGAGGCACATTCGGAGCTCCATAAAGGGTTCAGACGTGATAATGACGAGGACAACAGACACTACGAAAATAAACAGAGGCGGTGGCGGCGGGCGCAGCGTGCTCTGCTCACTGACACTTGGAGAAGAAAGGGCTGCACGTTTAAAAATAGACGCCAATTCACCCACAGGCCTTAGTCCTTAAGGAACCCGAGTTTCTGCTTCACTCGGGAACCAGGCCACCTGCTCCTGGCCGGGCCCTGTCACTGAGGTCCCACACGTGCAGGTCTCGGTGGCCCAGCGGGTTCCCTCATCCTCTTGCCCTCGGCCTCCCACCAGGATGTGCAGGTACAACGTGGCAGCTGTGAGGAGGGACTGGGGCGGCAGAGAAGGTGACGAGAAGAGGGTGCATCTTGAGAAGGCTTAGAGGGGCCACACTGCCGCCCACTTGCTCTGTGATGGACCAGCCCAGGGCTCCCAGCGGTTCAAGGGCAGCTGGCAACACCAGCTTCTTTTAGTAAGTAAAATGCTCTGGGTTTAAGTAACGGACAGCTGTTTGTCTTACTCTCCACGTGGCATGACCCCAATCAAACACGTCCGGGGCTGGGCTTTGCCCACGAACCCTGAGAACAGGCTCTGTTTCCCACAGTCCAAGGGCACAGGGCCTGACGGATAGTCCCTGGCGGAGGCCTACCGTCTCCGCTTCTGGGAAGTCCTGTCCAAGTCTAGGTATCACCTGGTGCTGCTGCTTTGAGAGACAAAGTTCCTAACTCAGGGGACAGGTGGCTAAGAATGTGAAGCCTGAGTTCCAATTCTGGGTTTCCACCTGCTATTCCAGTGACCTGCGGCCAGTCCTTAACTCCTCCCGGCTCTTGTGTCCTCCTGTGTGCATGGGGAGCCATAACAGAGCCCACACAGGTGTGTCTGCACCACCCAACGAGGCACAGGCAGTACCCACCCCAGAACTCCACCAGGGTTTTATCTTAGGACACTTTAAGGCCTTCAGAGGGACYGTGTCCATGTGGGTTGTGCCCCTCGACACTTACCCTTCTGGGAATTAAAGTGGAGACCTCCAGAAACGGAGGATCATACCTGCCACGTGCCCCTTGGTGTCAGAGTGACATCGTCTCAGCCTGTCACGCAGCCTTTGAGAGTTCCCCAGCCCGCTGTGGGATGGGAGGGAAAGRGGAGGATGGTTGGTTCATTCCGAGAGAAGTTTTGACGGACAGAGCCTTGCTAGGGTCCTGGACACCCCAGGCTCTCCAGGCACATGATGAGAACCCTGATCTGGAACACGGTCAGCATGGTGGCACCGTCTGCCCTGGCCACACCAGGCATGACTCTGGTGGCAAGTGGGACCCTCATGCAGAGCACGCTGGAAGAAGATCCTGGGGTGCCCTGGCATCCCCACCCCAGCACCACCATGCGGCTCTCCAGCCCTTCCCAATGGTAAACCCACTCAGCCATCGAATTGACAGCTTCTTAGTAACTTTGCTCTCATCGATTTTGAAATAGTCAACCAGTCACGCAAATGAGAACAGGCACATAGTATAACAGAGGACAGAAACATCTTTATGATTTCCTGATCATACCCACGCTTTTGACCTTTAAACCCAACACCCGTGTTAAGGACTTCAGATAGCAATGGCTGACCACCATTCAGTACGGCTCATCTCTGAAGCACAGACCGCCAAGCAAAACTAGGACACTATCCCAACACCCCAATTACTAACACCAATCATGTTCCTTATGAATTCTGCTTGCCATCTGAGTCGCAGCATGAAAATCCAAAGGCTTTGGGACTCTGCTTCTAGCTATGGCCCCTATTTCTCTGCCGTTTCCTTCCTTCTTCCAGATCTTGAACTGATAATGGAAGAACTGGACTGGATCGCCGCCTGACCACCTCCCTGTAGCTCTGCCACTTCCTGAGGGACGCTGACAGGCCATTCTCCATCAGTTTCATTCTAAAGAGATCCTGGAGTACATCCCTGTCCAGGTCAGACTCCGGCTCTAAATGCCACCGTCCTGCGGGAACAGGACTTGCCGGGGCAGAAGACCTTCCAGCAGGTCGAGTGCCCTTGTGCTCATCCACTGTTACGCAGAATTCGAATAAAACTGGATGGAGATTCCCACAGCCCTTCAGTTTAGGACGGATTTCATTGTTTTCCAACAAGTCAACAGAGTGTTGAGATTCCTCGTGTGGAGGGAGAAAATGTGTTCTTCATTAAGTTCAAGGGACATTAAAGGGATTACTCAATGGCTCTTCACTACCATGACCCCACCACCTTCTTTCTAAAATGTTTTTTAAATATCAATTTACAAATAAGTCAATTATGTCTTCATAACCCTTGGGGAAGAAATGGTGGAACAGAAAACGAGCTTTCTTCTTGTTTTCAGGGCTGCGGTAGAACCCAGGGCGCTGGGCAATGCTTTGCCAACTGAGCTCCGCCCGAACCTGGCTTCCGTAAGCGACTGCGGCCAGCCTTGCAGGGTGGCAGTCTGATGAGGACCAAGGCCCCCTTCCATCCCGCCATGGTGACATTACTGACCACAGGTGGCACAGGCCCAGAACGTGAGTTCTAGGACACGGACTCT